GGTCCAACGGCTCTGTGTGTATACGCCCTATACGATCATTTTCTGATAATGATGAGGCAATAGCCCCGCCTCTCCCCACCTCTGCTGCTCCCCCGCGTCAAAGTAAACTGCACACTGAATTCAGATTATTTATCTTTCTCTCGATATGGACCTAAACGCGAGTGAAGTCTAATCTGACAGGACGGAGACACGCAGCTCTGCTCACCTGCAGCTCCTCCCGCTGTGATGCGGCGGTGAACGGAGTAAAACACACACTTCAAGTCCGATCATCACCAGGGGCGGACTGGCCATCTGTAGAATCTGGAGAACCACAGAACGGCCGGTCGTCAAGGGCCGTTGACGGCCGGCCGGCCCTTTAAAAAAAAAAAAAAAAGTTGAACGTAACGTCATCATTTAAATGGCGCTGACGGCCGACAGAGGGCGACAGCGGCCGCTAACTGCAGTTGTGTGGTTCTTATCTGTCAAATAATCACACACGAAGAAGAAAAAGACCGGCAACAGGAAGAGAAGGGATTAGACGCCGCGGCAGACAGGGAGAATAAAAAAACATGGATAAATATCAAAGAAAACGAAAAGAAAAAGGTGGGGCCGAGAAGGCAAGAGAGAAAAAGGTGAAGTCACTCGCAGGTGAAGCATATCAATGTCGCAAATTGACAGACCTTTTTGGCAGCAGCGCTGCTACAAAGCACTATCAGCAGCAGCTTTAGAACAAGTGCAAGATGATGAAGAGAATGATGTGGGCGCGAGTTCAGATATACAGCCAGCCTCCTGCGTTCATGATGAGGGACAGAGTTGAGCTGCTGGAAGAACCAGCTCAACTGGCACACGTGCAGGGCAAGAGCAAGAGGTGGGTGAGAATTATCCCTTGAACTCAGTGGCGTTTTCTCCTGGAGGCCAAGGGAAGCCAGGCTTCCCTGTTTTTTTTGGATTGTAGTTATAATTTTAATAATAAATAAAAACACTTTGTTTAGTTTCGGTAATGATTCTGCCGGCCCGTCTCTTCCCCCCATTCCTCCCAGTATTGTTTACAAAGAGTGAAACAGCGCCCCTCTAGATGTTATGATGAAACGTAGATTGCACATCTGTTGCGAGAGGAGGCTAGCCGAAATTGGCTTCCCTGGTGAAAAGAAATTGAGGGAGTTACCAATCAGATGAGGCTAACATCATGCCTGACAATCCAATCAAATCGCATCAACTTCAGTTCGTACCGTAACTGTCATCACAAAAAGTAGCAAGCAACTGAAGCAATTGCAATTATGGAGGGTAAGATTTGGAGTATTTCATCAAACATAATTTACTAAACTTCCGGCTACACAGCAGCAACTAAAATGAAATCTGATGACAGGCCAATGCCCAAACTGGAGCTGTGTACAGCGAGGGGAAAAAGGAGCGAATCGGACATAAAAACTTTAAATAATAAACAGCGGATTTCTAACATTTGACATTTCATGTGGCCGGACTGGGTCAGTTTCCAGGGCTGAATTTTAGTCCCAGTCCGCCCCTGATCATCAACCCTTAGCTATTTTAATGTACCTCTCAAACTACCTAAACTAGATATAAATATGTTTATTTTTACTGTCGGCCGGGTCACTCATTACTGGATCAGCTGCTGCATGAAACAGACACTGGCGCTGTCGCGAAGAGAGGGAGGAAAAAAGAGAGGCTCTGTGTAATTTATTATTATAATAGATAGATTCGTTATTCATTTGTTTTAAAGCTCAATAAATAACAAAGAAGACCTTTGACCGGCACTTTTAGAATTTTGTCGGAAGATTTAAACTTTAATACACGTTGACTGGCGAAAAACTCTGCCCGGATCCCTCGGCCCCCACCGCGGAGAATAAACAGAAGGGCAACCATGACAACCATGCTTCTTCGCTGCTTTTGTGGAGGAAGTTACAGCGCCACGTACAGGCTCCTGCATATGTACTGCAGCTTCTCCAGCGGTTGGAGCTAAACGGAGCTGTCTCGTGTGGACAGACACTATCCGGATGACTATTGCGTGTGGATGGAAGCTTTTTTGGGTTTGCGTTAATCCTATGCGTTTAGCCGTTTTCGTCCTCGTGTGGCCGGGGCATAAAGCTGAACAAATCCTATATTTAAAATGTAATGTAAGCTACTGCTTAATACATTCTTAAACATCCATTGGGGAAATGTTAGTATGGTAAATGATGAATTAATAGACAACAAATGGACAAGCGTTCACTACCGAGCTTGTTTATAACTGACAACGTTATATTCAATTTAACATTACCTGTCTCTGCTCTGCTCCGTCCCGTGTGTGTGGCCTCACGCGCGTTGAAACCGTATAAAGAGGTTGAAACCTGGGTGAAGGAGAGTGTTAAACTTTAGCAGCGGGTCTCTTAATTCAGCGGCAGCGAGGAGAGCACGGAGGGAGCACACACAATCCTCCGCACCTCGTGGTTTACAGTGGATGAAAATGTTAGCTTGCTAACTGTTAGCAAACTAGCTAGCTAGTGACCGTGTTAAATAGTGACTTGCAGTCCAATGCCTTCGGGGTTGCTCGTAGTAAATTAAGTAAATGGTTGGGTATATTATGACACATTTGAGTATAAATTGATTAAACTAACATTGAAGGCTTTTATTAGGAAACCTACCTGTTATGTTCGTGTTTCAACGGCTGCCGTCACTACGAGCACCCACAACCACAATGCATTTTGCTGAACTTTTTGAATACATAATTAGCTTAGGGGCAATGACATTTTTCATCATATACAAAAAGTGACAGCCCTATTTTGGCACCAAGTTTAAACAACTACATATCTTACAAGTTAACATTATACAGTAACTGCAAATAATTCAGGCATTTCTGTGAATCTGCTGACTCAACCTATGGCTAATGCTAGCTAACATGCATGTATCTGGCTAACATCAACACTCTCTTTCACATGTTTAATCTCAAAATATTTAAAAAAGTGAAGAAATATTATTATTGCACTTACAGTGAGACCAATGATGCTGATTACCACCGGAAAGTGTGGAAATTAAGTGTGAAGATCCACCTTATTGCAGGTATTAGCTGCATGTGCTGCATCCCACTTTCGACAGTTAGTGACGTCAGACACACAATAAGCATTAGAAATGAGTACAGTTCAATGTATATGTTTAAGTGATGCTTACTTAATCCGCCAAATAGTTCAAGTTAATCAAAGATTATCAGTTTACTTAACTCAAAAACGAAGAACAGTCACAGGAACTGAATATATTGAAGTTAGTAGAACTTTTTTTTTTATTTAAGTTTACACTAATTAATCTATTTAATTATTTTGAACGTTCTGGTTTACAGTGTGTGTTGAAGTGTAAAAGTGTGTGAAGGAGCTGCTACAAACATGCTCAAACATCCCATTGTTTTGCAATTAACGTAAAGGTTGACTCCGCGCACACAGCAAACTGCAGCTATGTGTGTTTGTTTACAGACGGCAGAGGTCAGATTCAATACACGTTAACAGCTCTGCCCCCGAACAAGCAGATTAATGATAAACACACAACACCGAGTCGACGGTCATTATAGATAAACCGTGGATAGAATAACGCTCATGTTTCATAACTAGGGTCACAATACGTCCCCTGTGAGGGTTTCTGGCAATATGTTCCAGGACTGCAGAGAAAACATGGGAACTGTTCATTGGAATTCACTAATTGGGAAAAATATCACGCTATAAGTTCACAGGCAATGGTCAAAAGGAGATACTCAAGTGCTGTACTTGTCTACCATTTCCAACAGTATTTCAATGTAATGCCACTTCAATTCAGAAGTATATTGTACTTTTTATTCAAGGACATGTATCTGAGAGCGATAGTTACTTCTTAAAGTATATACATATAACATGTACGATTTTGCTATTTAATATAAGGAGCCCCTATTATGCTTTTTGGGGGTGTTCTCTTCCCTGCAGTGTGTTTCTGTGCATGTCAAGCTCCACATTTGTGGAATCAGCTTCCAGTTTGTGTTCGGGCGGCAGACACCCTATCCGTTTTTAAGAGTGCGCTTAAGACCTTCCTTTTTGATAAAGCTTATAGTTAGGGCTGATTAGATTCAGCCCCTAGTTTTGCTGATATAGGCTTAGTTTGTCGGGGGACATCTTACTTCTTCCTTCTCTCTGTCTATACCTGTGTACTCTCATGTTCCGATTAACCCAGCTTCCCCACATTTCTTTCTTTTTGGTATACGCCGGGATCCGGAGTCATGGATGGTCCTGTGTCCTGGATCTTGAGTTTTGGCTGTGGTCCTGGATCATAGATCCTGGATGGATATCCTCGTGGATTCATCTTACTATTATACACACATGCATTTCCAAACATTTGGACTACCTATGTTGCAAATGTATTATCTTTTCAATTTACACACGGCATCTATTGCACGTCTGTCCGTCCTGGGAGAGGGATCCCTCCTCTGTTGCTCTCCCTGAGGTTTCTCCCATTTTCCCTTTAAACTGTGGGTTTTCTCCGGAAGTTTTTCCTTGTACGATGTGAGGGTCTAAGGACAGAGGGTGTCGTATTGTCATACTGATATTATGTATTAACTGTGAAGACCACTGAGACAATTGTAACATTTGTGATATTGGGCTATATAAATAAACATTGATTGATTGATTGATGGAAATGGTGTGCAAAGGCTACAATCCCTTTCCTCCAGAGGGAGTTTCTCTCCCCTGTAGAGAAACTACATATATAAATATATATTATACTTTAATTGTTGCTTAAACATTTTTTTAACTTTAAAAAAAACAAAACAGTAATTTTCTCTTTTCTCCTCTTTTTCTTATTTCCACCTCACTTCCTCTGCTCTTCCTCCTCTCCCTTTTTCCTCACTTCCTCTGCTCTTCCTCTCATCTTCTCTTCCTCTCCCCTCTTTCTTTCAATTCATCTCTTTGTTTACTTCTCTTCCTCTTGCCCTTTTTCTCTTCCTCTACTGTCTTCTTTCCTATTCCTGTCATCTTCCTCACTTCCTCTCCTTTTCCTTTCCTCTCCTCCTCCTCGCCGCAGTCATCATGTCAGTGTCCCCGGTAACAGACCTCAGCTGGTCGGTGGTCCCCATGACTCCTGTATACGGTAACGTCACAAAGGTGCAGCGTGACGCTCTGCTGGCGGTTGCCGAGGTTGTGGTGCTGGCGGTGATCTTGGTGATGGCGTTGCTCGGTAACGGGCTGGTGCTGCTGGTGTTGCTAAGGCGGAGACGCCAACAGAACCCGCTGCACCGCTTCATGATCAACCTCTGTTTAGCTGACCTGGTGGTGGCGCTGTTCCAGGTACACGCACACACACACACACAGATGTCTCTTTTTTGGTCTTTTCACTTGCTTGGTGTCTTTTTCTCATCATCTTAGGTCTCTTTTTAACAACTTTGTAGTATTTTGAAGTCTCTTCTTGGTTGCTTTGTGTCTTTAACTGTCCATTGTGATGGCTTTCTGTAGTTGCTCTGTGTCTCTTTGTAGTCATTTTGAGTCTTATTATAGGCCTACTACATTTCAGGTTCTTAGTTGTTGATTGCTGTCACTCTTTTTTGAAGTCACTTTACAGTTGTTTTGCTTGTCATTGTGGACTTTTTGTGTCTAGACGTTCTTCTTTTTGATCATTTTGAGTCTCACTCTGGATCTCCACTCTCTCTCTTTGAGTTGCATCTTGTGGGTGAAGCCAAGGGGTCCCCTGACACTTTGATCCCCTGGCCCTGTGCCCTGTACAGTGTGCGAAAAAGTACACGTCCCACCGTCCGGGACGTGTTATTTACAATATCGGACAAGTAGATCTTTCAATTGACTTGTCCGGCGGACAAGTGACGTTTTTCGGCCTGATTTATTGACAAATTGTTGATACATTCGGTTTACAAAAGGCAGAACTCAATCGCAAATTGTACGTGTCCGCCATTGTTCGTTTAGATTCTGCTTGTCGATTCCTAAGGAAATGCATCTCGCCGCTTTCTGTACAGTTAGACGGGGCGGGGCGGGTTGGAAGTGTAGCACAGTGGCAGGGTTGGGAAGCAAAACACGGTTCCGATTAGGAACAAATATCAATTGTCCGGTACCGGGATTAATAAGAGTTGTGAGGACAGGAGGCGAGGCCGAGCCCCGCGGACTGCAGCTCTATCTATGCTCGGTATCAGCTGATCGCTGCACGGTGCAGCTCAGCGTCTCTCTCTCTTTCTACACACAGCGGATCCGCTGCCCGATTAACAGCCTCATCTTTGTCAAACTTTCTTATGTTCTTTCTCTAACGCATAATGAAGGTTATTAAGCGTTTTAACTCCTATGTTGTTAATATTGACCACCATTTCCTTTTATGAAGTAAAGCAACCTCCCTGTCTGTGTCCTCGCGCTGTCCTCACATCCCCGGACCCCCAGACTCAGAGGAGCACAGGGATGTCAGCAGAGACGTGCACACATAGACTCTAGGTAGTGCTTGAGCACCTGCCCGTTTTGCCCTCTGGACAGCAATGTGCCCTTTTGAAAGTTCGTTTTTTTTTTTACAGTGTACTGTATGTGGCTCATGGTAACATCGATCAATTCTGGATTAAAAGCTTCTAATATATACAACAATGCCCCAAATGCGCGTTGTAATTTTGTCAGACATCCCCACGCGTGCCCCGCGGCACTCCCGTACTCCTGGCTGCAGCCCCTCCCTTCCCTGCTCTCAACGTGAACGCGCAGCGCGCAGAGCTGACAGTCAGTCTAGTGATGGGAATTCCGGCTCTTCTTGGTGAGCCGGATCATTTGGCTCGGCTCACCAAGAAGAGCCGGCTCTTTCGGCTCCCAAACGGCTCTCCAGTTTACCACTTATTATACCTTTTAATTAAATCAAATGTAGCCCTGTTTTGACTAATGATTTATATTTGTACACATATATCACTTAAATTATTCAATACATCCTTTGTACTGAAGTATTCAAAAGTAAAAATTACATGTTTAATATAAATGATTTGCTGTGGCCAATTGTTTTCATTGCATTTACAGACCCGTGCAACTCTCTGATACCACCCAATGAATGCATTGACTTGCTTGTAGAACCACACTACACAAAACAGATAGCAACACCTATAAAAACTATTTAAAAAAAGGGGCTACTGTATCGACCTATATAAACTATATAAATATAGGTTTTTTTTTCAAAATACCAAAAAGATCCTGTATTTTAGCCATGCCTCATTTCGCTCTATTTGCTCCATCCAGCGCTGTTTTTGCAGGGGGCTGATTCTGTGAGCTGCAGCTGACCACGCCCCCCTACAGGAGAGGGGAGCGTGCTCTGAGATCAGCTGCTGGGCTGTCAGAAGAGGGGGAGAAAAAGAGATCTCCGTCCTCCGTGTTTTATTCTTATAGAAGTAAGAAGAGAAGTAATGGGGCAGAAACCCTCCTTTTTACGCAGCGGTCCAGACATAGACATCAAACTGCGACACATATTCAGTTGCCAGTTACTTTAGCATTAGGGCAGGGATATCTAGATACTTTCCAAGGTTTGACATAATGAATTGAGCTACTTTTAAAGCAAGCAACGATGTTTTCAAATCTGTAATCAAAAACACTATCGAAGCAGTTCCTGCCGTTGCTACGTTAGTTCAAACAGTAACAACGGACTACTTTTCTTAGCGGATGCATGTCAATTTAAATCAATACATAAAACTATTTTTTAAATCAATAAAATCATTTTCTAAATCCATAAAAGCATTTCCATTACTATTGGGAGTCATGTCGTTACTTTGTTGAGAATGTGGCCATGTAATAAGCGGGATAATGTGCACATTGCAAATGTGCCTTCATGCCGATCTAAATCCCTCTGCAAAAATGGCTCGTTCGCGGGCGAGAGCCGGCTCCCGTCGTTCACTTAAAAGAGCCGGCTCTTTGCGCCGGCTCGTTCGCGACCGACACATCACTAAGTCAGTCACTCAGTCAGACAGGCCACGGCGGGTGTGTGGTGCAGCAGCACGCAGCAACACGATTAAAAGTGCCCTAGTGACGACCAAGTCAGTAACCAACAGGTAACAAATACAACGAGTGTATTGTTTAATCCCCTAAATCAGATGCCAAACTAAACTATACAGGGTTCGTACCGTACGGTCATTCAAAACCTGGAAAAGTCATGGAAATTCAAAATGCAAATTCCAGGCCCTGGAAAAGTTATGGAAAACAATATTTTTCCCAAAGTTTTGGAAAAGTCATGGAAATGTAACTAAAGTTGCGTCAAATATAATTTACATTTTATCTAATCGCCGAAATAATCTGCGGTCGCGAGCTGTTATGTGCGCATGGTGTTATTTTTTAATATATGAAGCGCGAGCTGTGTGCTCGAGTCTTCTTGCCTGTCGGGCCGGCTGAACTCTGCTGCTCCGGGATGAGGGTCAGCTACATTAGCTACGGTGCGTTCGTTAACTGTGCGGAGTCACTGTGGCACAGACTGCACCGCTGGTGAACAGCTGTTAGTAGTAGAAGTACTCAGATCTTGTACTTGAGTAAAAGTAGAAGTATTCAGATCTTGTACTTTAGTAGAAATACTCAGATCTTGTACTTAATAAAAGTAGAAGTACTCAGATCTTGTACTTGAGTAAAAGTAGAAGTACCACAGTGTAGGAATACTCTGTTACAGTAAAAGTCCTGCATTCAAAATGTTCCTCAAGTGAAAGTAGAAAAGTATTATAAAAATACTAAGAGGCATGAAAATACATTTTCAAAATGCTCAACAGTGCTGCCAAAATTATAAACTGACTGCTACACAATTAAAATAAATGCTTTTATATATTTCTATTAGATGTAACTCTTTGGCGTTTCTGTTATTATTACCTGCTGCTTTAGTTGCTCTGACTGCTAAAATCCTCTGTTATTCCTCATTTTAAAGCCGATATTCCGTGGGGTCGGGGGCTCGGATCCTTGTCACCTTTTTCATACCTGATGAGTTTGCATCCCTGACTACAGTTGCTTTAGCGTGTAGAAGCTAGTAAGCCTACTATTTGATTTGTTTTAGATAGGCATCTGCATCAGACAGCATATGGTTATTGAAATAAATATATATGCAATTACACATACAAGATGTGCCTTTTAATAAATCTCACACTACTAAGGCAGCCGGCGGTTCCACCAGGGGCGTCAATCCCGGGGGGGGGGGGGGGTTTCATCCCCCCCTAGCTTCAGATTGGACCCCCCTAAGTCATTTAGAATAATAAAAATAAATGTTAAAATAATAAAAATGTTGATAATAAATCAGTAAAATCAGGTAAAAATAAGAATTAAATAACATAACCCTAACCCCGAAATAAAGTAACCAAAAACCAAAAAGAAACGTAACAAAATCCGGCAAATTTTTGCGCACAATTTCGGCGCGACCGCCACAACGACTCAGAAGGTGCCCCTTTTTTTTCTCTTGAGCACCTGCCCCTATAAATGTCTGTGCACGCCACTGGATGTCAGTATTGTTTATGAAGCAGGGTATAGAAGGTACATTATTGAAATGAAAATACTATTTATTTACTTTTACAAACAGTGAGCAGCTGGGCAGCTGCAGCATGTGTATTGCAGGACATGTGTAAGCGTATTTGAGTTGTAGAAAAGCGCTAGGCCTATAGGCTATACATCTAATGTGTCATTATTATTATTATTATTATTAGGTTATGTCCTATGTGTTGGACATGTGTGGTTGGACTTTGTCTCACAGGCAGGTTGCAGTGTAACATCAGAGGAGACTGGGCCAATTGTACATTCTCAAACTGCACCAGAACTAACTAAACAATGCAGAGATTATTTTTATATAATTGTATTCAATAACCGTAAGAAATTCAACAGTATGAAGTGATTTGTAAATAGGAATACAGATTTGACTTAATCTTTTCATAAATATATTTTTCTCCCAGTTTGACTTGTTTTTACCCTCTCAAAGAACCGGAATTGAGAACCGAAAATAACCGGAATCGAAAAGCAGAACCAGAATCGTTCAAATCCAAACAATACCCAACCCTATGTGTGATGCAGTAAAATCTTACCGCTCACTTACGTTAGCGGTGTCGTAAAAACCGTGGGAAAATGTAAAATACGATGACGAAGAAGAAGATTCCAGTGGCCCCAATTTTTGTCCATTCTGGACAAGTGAAAAATGTATTCGGACAAGTAAATTGCCAAACTCACTTGTCCATGGACAAGTACTCTCTAAAAACTTTTTCTCACACTGCCTGTAGGTAGGGTCAGTAATCCATCCATGATGCACACACACACAAACACACACCCACTGGCTGCATCTCACCCTGCTCCCCCTGCTCTCCCTCTCTGAGGTGCTGCCCCAGCTGGTGTGGGATGCAAAAGGCAGATTCCCTGGCCCGGACTTCCTGTGCCGGCTGGTGAAGTACCTGCAGGTCCTCGGGATGTTCGCCTCGTCCTACATGATCGTTGCCATGACGGTGGACCGGCACTACGCCATCTGCTGCCCCCTGCTGGCGCACCGCAGCTGGGCCACGCAGCGCTGGAACAGCTTCATCCTGCTGGCCTGGGGGCTGTCGCTGGTGCTCAGCCTGCCACAGGTAGGGAGATGGGGGGGGAGAGAGACAGGGAGGGGGGAGACTTTGAATTGTAGCCTTTGCCGACCATTTACATGCACACAAAACTATATAGCACACTACAGGAAAGGGAAGTCTTAATAGAGCTTTTTAGAATCAGAATAATATGTCCGCCCTCTCCTCTCTGCTCCTCCAGGTGTTCATCTTCTCCCGCTCTGAACGGTCTCCAGGAGAATACGATTGCTGGGGGAACTTTGCTGAGTCGTGGGGCCTCAAGGCCTACGTCACCTGGATGACTCTGGCGGTCTTCGTCCTCCCCGTCCTCATCATCACCGTCTGCCAGGTAGAGAGGGGCGGGCCAGAGTTTGATTTACAGGGAGACACAAAACAACAGGGACCATCTTCTGTGATGGGATTTTAGATCTTGGATGTTGGACTGTTTTCTTTTTTGTATTACTGCCGATTTTTATTCCATATTTTATTCCATTCCATTGCATTGTAAATACTGTTATATTTTACTACATTTTGTATTATTCTTAATATTTGTATAGTTCTCTACCTGAGTTTTTAATTCTTGTTTTACTTTTATGTATGCACCATCAAGTCAAATTCCTCGTACGTGTAAACCTACCTGACCTGTTTCTGATTATCAACTGTTCTTATTTCACAACATTTTCCTTCAGGTACGAATCTTCAAGGAGATCCATAACAACCTGTACCTGAAGTCGGACCGCCGCCTCTCCCCTGCCTCCCTCTCCCCCTCCAGACGGGACAGCCAGAGAGGAGAAGGAGTCAGAAGGAGGTCAGATCTCCCCCTGTATGTTTCACCCCTCGTGTTCAAAAACCCCTTGAATGACAGCAGTTTTAGCCCCGCCCCCGTCTACCAGCCGTCCAACAGCGTCACCTCACACAGCGACAACACCTACACTGCTGACTATGGTGAGTTCGTTTTTTTATTTCCGTTAATAAATCCTAATTCTGCAAGGTTATAATAATTATTATTATTATTTTATTTTGTATTTGAAATGTTAGAAATTATGTTGTTAAAGGTACACCCAACACAATTATTCTAAATATTATTAGACATTATTTTACTATTACTATCATTTTTCTATTGACTATAACATTACATCACAATTAACACTACAATAAACACATCTCTTCACACTCGCATATCCACCCTGATCATTATCCATCACACATCTTCTGTTTTATTTATTTGATTGATCTGTTTATGTTTCTTATGCTGGTGTTTTGTATTGTGTATTTTTTATGTGTTTGTACGGCGACCTTGAGAGCCTTGAAAGGTGCCTATATAAAATAAATATATTATTATTATTATAAAACACACTATTATGAATCCTTTTTTATACAAGGACCACGCATAAAAGATTATAAAACTCAAAAAGATAAGAGGATTTATGCCAGGTTGATCTGCAGTATTAGGGGTAGGCACAAGTGGAACAACCATCAGACACTCAAAATGTTAAAATATTACATTTGACTTTCTTTAAAGGTCCCCTATTATACTGTTTTTAATCAATATATTATAGGTCTCAGATGTACAGTATACAAAACATTTCTCTTAAGTGTTTGGCTCCAAATACCAACCAGATCATTGTAGCATCCCATAATCCCCTCAACATCTGATCAGCTCATTTTCAGACAGGTTTTTAAAGAAATGGATCAGGACAAAAAGTGAGAGAATCTTTTTTCCTGAAACCTTCAGACTCTCTTTCCACAGAGGGGAAACATGTTGATGTAGAGGAGACATGGAAACGTGGATTTTGCATAATAGGTGACCTTAAACTTTGAGCCAGTTTTACTGTTTCGCTTGTGACAGTTTTTTAAGTCAATATTTTTGTTGACCTCCTGTGTTTGTTTTAGTGTCTGCTAATAATCACGGCTTCCTGTCTGTGGAGCTGCAACCTGACGTGCTGCCGGGCCCTGCAGCGCCCCCTGCTGCCTGCGGCCCCAAAGCCCCCCCGCTTAAAGCCCCCCCACTCACAGCCGAGGCCCGCGGTGGGGGGGTATCAGCGGCCATGTCGAAGACGGTCAGGATGACGCTGGTCATCGTGCTGGTCTACTCGCTCTGCTGGGCCCCCTTCTTCAGCGTCCAGCTGTGGGCCGCCTGGGACCCCCACCCCCCTCAGAACGGTACAGTATTTCCAAATATCTGGAACAAACTACCAGAAACCTGCAGGTCCGCTGCAACTCTTACTACTTTTAAATCCAGGCTGAAGACTTTTCTTTTTGTCGCTGCTCTTAATTGATATATTCACATCTTGCACTGTAACTTATTCATGTTCCTGTGCTATTCATGTTTTATTATCTTTGCTTTTTAATGTTTCAAATGTGTTTTATGCTCTTAATGTCTTTCGTTTTTGTAAAGCACTTTGAATTGCCTTGTGTTGAAAAGTGCTATATAAAATAAACTTGCCTTACAGTTTTATTCCACAGGCCATAAAACCATGAAACACCTGAACCTTTTAAAGAACATCCATAAACATTCAACTGATTGCATTTTGCAAATTATTTATCCAACATATCATTCCATTTACTTGTATGTAGACTATTTCTATTTTATTTGTGCATCTCAAAACATTCTCTTGCACTATTTATCTCTTATTTGTTCTATATCCTATATATATTCACGTTGCACTGTTGGAGGAGCCTGTGACTTCAGTTTTACATTGTGACACACACACACACACACACACACACACACTTAAGATTAGGTCTGTTTATACTTAAGAAAACACACATATTAAACTGATAAAATGCAGTGCTCAGGGCTTAACAGGTTAATCTACCCAGTAGCATACAAGGTACCTAAAGTTGACTCCACATTTCAAATCTATATGAAAATACTCTTACAGGTATTCATTGGTGATCAGGCACGTGCACACATATACATCAAAGTGGGCTTGAGCCCATGCCCTTTTTCTTCCTCCAGAGAAAGTGTCCTTTTTATGGGATGCTTTTTAATTTGTAATTTAAATAAATGAATATATATCTACTCCCGTTTGCGCACAGTTTACCTTTCCAAAAAAATATTGATTGAATAACAAATAAAAATATCAGGTCGGGAGATTAGACTGAAGTTCCGATGCTCTCTCTACCCTCCCTCCCTCCCTCCCTCACCCCACGTCTCCTGCACAGCGGTGCGGACAGTCATCGGCACTATAAATCTGAATAAAATAATATTCTATAATAATTTAAGACTTTCAATGGAACCATTCTGGATTATGAGTAGGCTACTTTGCAATAATAATACTGAATTTGATCAATGCTGTGTGTGTGTGTGTGTGTGTGTGTGTGTGTGTGTGTGTGTGTGTGTGTGTGTGTGTGTGTGTGTGTGTGTGTGTGTGTGTGTGTGTGTGTGTGTGTGTGTGTGGTGTGTGTGTAGATGCGGTGTTCACCCTGCTGATGCTGCTGGCTAGTCTGAACTCGTGCACTAACCCCTGGATCTACTCGGCCTTCTCCAGCAGCGTCTCTCCGGAGCTCCGCCTGCTGCTGCTCTGCCGCTCCGCCTCGCAGCGCCGCGGCTCCCTGCCCAGTGACTCCACCACCACCACACACAACTCCAACTACTGAACACACACACACACACACGTGCAAATCCTGAAAAGTCTTTATCTTAAAAACTAGAGCTTCCTTTTTCTTGTTTGAATAATAGTTAGGGAAATACATTTTGTTTCTTTTACAGATTAATATAAAGTCATTTGTACATTTTAATATCTTAAGTGAAGTTTAGAGGTTCTGAGAAGCAAATCATGTTTGCTAAGCTGCTTTAATTTAAGAATGAATTATGTTTTCCTGCAGGAATTCACCGCTGCTTCCTCAGTCCGGCACAAACCCACATATAAAACCACTAATTGTCAGATGACTTAAGTGTGCTTTACACTGTTAAGGTAGCCATTTACAGAACTGCTTGATCATTGATATAGAAAATAAGGCTAGTTATATATTTCACATGTAAAACTCTCCCTGAAAGAAACAGATAGTTTAGATACAAACTGCTGTAATGCATTTTTATAAAGTGTAATTATAGTAAATATTCGGGTGATATTTCAGGAACTGACTTGATTAAAAACATTCCCTTTCAGAACAGAACAAATTCAATGAGATATGTTTTAAAAACAGTTTATTCATCCCCTCAAAAGTCCTAAAAACAGTCCATACATACAAATTCACAGAAAAACATCTCCATGAAAAAAAAAACATTTTCTACAAACTTAACACAATGATTTGTTCTTGTATTTATTTATTTGTAAAGACGAAAATGTGCTTCTGCAGTACCGTTTAAAAATAAATCTTGCACTGGATGAAAACTAACATTCACATGTTTCAATAAAATGTTTTAGTTGTTTTTAAAGTGTCAACGTTTCTTTCTAATACTCGGGAAAAAGCGAAATAACTGAAGTTTTTAGTCAATTCAGTGTTTCCCCAAGGTTTACTGCTTTTGGGGGGGGGGGGGGGGGGGGGGTGCTGCCTGAGCTATTGGGGGTATTGGGATATATATTTTTGAAATCCTCAGAAGCAGAGAGAGGAGCTGTGGATTATTGTTATTGATTAATGCATCAGTGTTTCTTAGGGTCAAAAACACTAATTTCACAACTTAAAATGAAAGCATTTAGTTTATTTAATAAAAGAGCACATGTTCAATGTGAAAATAGATATAGATTAGTTGCAATTTGGTGCTATGTATGTATATATATATAAAAAGTTGAAACCTTGAATTTCAGGGGGGGCGGGGCGCAGCGCCCCTCCAAGACAATGGTAGGCTCTTAACCCTTAGATGCACGAGTGATGGACCCTCTCTTCCATAAGTGGGTCAAAAAGGACCCGTATTAGAATAATATGTGTTTTTATGCCATGTTTGTCATTTTGGTTAAGAAAAATCACTTGTATAATATTATTATATTTTGGTTCACACTAGAAATATTTTATATTTAATTTTTATAATTTTAGAAAAGAAAATTACATTTTGAAAAAAAACCGTTTTCCCAGAGGATCCCAGAGGAAATGCATGCGGGTCATTTTTGACCCACTTGTGGAAGCTTGGGGTAGTAATACAAAAACTACAATTTCTTAAAATGTAAATAAACAATTTGAATGGCATGATATCCAAAACATGTTTTTTGAGGAATAGCTGGAATATGAAATGATAAAAAAAAAAATGTAATTACAAAGATACTCTAAGAAAACCACCTCACCGGGCACCGAAGCAAACAAGAGTAAACCCTTTCCATCACCTTTATTCACATTCCTACTTAAATGTAAAAGTGCTCTGTTAGAGAAACATTTCAAATGTTTAATTTTCCTTCAGATTATAAAAGAGGAAGTGGATAATATGTTATTGTAATTTCAGCAAATGTTATTAAAACAACAGCGGGGTTTCCTTCCAAGCGTATCGCATTTAAACCCAAATTCAGGAATATGGGCAAAGGAAAATCGAGATAAACGAGTAGTAGTTTATTAAAAACCAACAGTAGGTGGCGGTAATTCTCCATTTGCGAAAAATGCAATACTTTTAGAAAACTTAACGGCAGTCATATATTTATAAATCTCTCCAGCGGAGCAGAAACTTGTTTTCATTGCACTTAGAAGCATTTTTGCTTTTCTCTATATACTTTTAAAGTCAAGTCATTTTTTTCTCCAATTCGAGATCGTTTTGAAACTGAAACATGAAATCAGATATGAGACGTTCTGCACAGCTCAGAGACACTGAGACGGTTGATACTGCAGCGGATAGATTTAAAAAAGTGAAATTATGAAACCTGGGTACAGATTCAACTGTCTGTTGACACACACACATCTCCCACACACACACATCTCCCACACACACACATCTCCCACACACACACACACATCTCCCACACACACCCCACATATACAGGCGTATTAGTGCCATTGAATTTAAAAAAGTATATATTACAGAACTGGGGTTGGCGATTATAAGTAGTACATTTCAAGAAAAAAAAAAGTGGTACATTTACATGGGAAAAAAACTAAAGAAATCATATTTCCGTCTTTTTCTCATAAATGTAAATAATCTCAAAGAATATTCATGTTTTTTTCTTGTACATTTACAAATTTAATCTTCAAAAATACCTGAATTTATTTCCCGTTTATTTACGTACAATGGCCCTAATACACGTTGTATTGAACAGTAAGCAGATATCTTTAAAATCACAAAGGTTTATTGATATAACTACAAAGTGTCACATTTTAAAAACAACGCTATCCGGTACTGCAACTACTAGGATTGTGTGTAATCTCCATAATTGTATTTTCCTATTTTTGGCAGCACAACCGGGCAGGCGCACACACACACCCTGTAAACCAATAGATCTGGAATACACACAACCATTATCCCCCCCCCAAAAAACAGTGTGAGAGATGTCATGTAATACTGTGAGTGCCGGTCACTCGGCAGGAGAGTCTGCGGGGAGCAACTGTGAGAGCGCTTTGTTCGAATGTGTCTTTATCAATACGGCAACGCATGATGGGCTGCTCCGGGTCTAGGCTGTGACACAAAACTACACACATTTATGTACAAGCACACCGTTAACAGTGGCTCCTAAACCGCTATCAGTGTGACCCTTCAGACCTCTCAAAATGTACCTACATTTAACCTCCTTACTTACCATTTATTTGTTTCTAAGAGTTAAAAATGTGACTTCTGGACGTATTTCTCCCAAATTGTACATTTTTATGCATAAATCTACATTAAAAACCCTGGAGATGTCACGCTGAACCTATGAACAGCTCTACTGTGATATAAACGTGTCCCTTCATTTATGTCCAGCCCTGCAGGAGTGAAGCAATGCCAGGAAACTGTTGGCCTCAGATGGTGTGGATATCATGTTTGTGTGTGAGGTTCTAAACCGTAATGGCACCCTGAGATTAGTATCCTAAAATGTTCTCTTACAGTCATTCTGTCTGCTGTGCGTCTATCAGGTGTTCGTATAACGTGTAGCTGGCGTGTTAGAGTGTGTGAGCTCCTGGAGGACTCGAGGTCACCAAAAGGACTCGGTGAAAGCTCCTTGGCGAACTCACGTCACAGCAGCTGTCTCTGTTCTTAAAGATAAACTTAGGCGTCTATGGCTTCAGGGATTTACCTCTCTATAAAGAAGGCGTGGGTTTCGGTTTCTGTGAAGCGTGTGCGTCCATCTCGAGTCTGTTTTTAAAAAAAAAAGAATAATCTACACCGTGTCCTCGTCCATCCTGGCCACGTTCTCCAGGGCGACGGCCTCTGGTGCTTTCTTCTCCGCCTCCTCGTCAGATTTTGACGGAGAAGGAGGCTCCAACATGGCGGTGAGCTCCTCCTTAGGCTCCTCCCTCTCTCTCCTCTCCTCCTCCTTCTTCTCCCGCGCCAGCATGCGGTAGTTGATGGTCATTCCTACGAAGAGGATCCCACTGGCGACGATGAGGATGATGCCGGAGGAGACGTAGGTGTAGTCGTAGTGCTCGTAGTAGTTATAGAAACTTCCTGAAGGTGGACAACAAAGAAACGATTCAGATTTAATCTTCTGCTATTTTCACCATCAATAACGACCAAACTGACATTAAAGTAGGCATGCAGCTGCCTGACTTTTGTCCACTTCCAAATTTGCAACAGTTATTGTTTTTCCATTATATATTAACTTACAGAGAATTGTTCTCCCAATTAAATGTCAAAAGATAGTATAACAAAACTTCCTAGAGCACAAGTTCTGTCTTTGTTATCCCTCAACATCAAAAAAATATTCAGCTTAACATCAATCATGACAGAAAACGGAAAATGGTCACATTTGAGAAGTTAAAGAGCATTTTTTGCTATAAATCCATTATAAAAACTGTTGTTTTTTGCCTGATGGATAAATAACTGTGTCGACTTACAACTGCAGCTCTTATTGCGAAACAACTTCAGAGGTGTGTAGTATGGGCGGTGAGGTGAAGGAAGGTTATGCTGACAGAACAATGGAAACTAAGAGCGTGGTAAACATTATACATGTTACCATTGACATCTTTTTAACTTTATACATCTGTGGTAGGAAACAATGTGTGTATGCTCAGTGTATCGAGAGTCTGACTAATGTACTGTTTGCAGAGATTTATCCACAATAATAAAAAAAACTAAAACGTATACAAGAGTGAGGCGGGGGGGGGGGGGGGGGGGGGGGGGAGCCCTATACTTTTCTTTCTTCCTGTTTCACATTGACCGACACTCTGCGTATCCCTTATTGTTCCCCCATGTCTTCATTGTTTGTTTTTTAGTTACTTACTATTCTACTCAACGTGAATTGTTTGTATTCCTGTTACCTGTGACTTTTTGAGGAGTTATTTATTTGATTGTATTTATTATTTTGTGTATTTGTATTATTATTGTTTTGTGACCATGACCTAATGGGGTAGGGGTGGGGATTTCCTTTAACAGACAAATTGTCCTGTACTTTATATAATGTGCTGAAAGTGCCAGGTCCGCATACAAGTAAAAAAACATACACAAGAGTGAAGTTCCTCCCTTCCTGTGATGCATTGTGGGTGTTTTACCTGTCAGCGGTGGTCCGAGCAGCACCGGCCCACATTCCACGATGGTAACCAGCCCCACGGCGGAGGAGAACCTCTGCGCTCCCACCAGGTCCATCAGCGTCTCAAACAGCACGGCGCTCAGCCAGCCGAACGCAAACCCGAAGAAGATGGCGTACACCACGAAGCCGGTGTAGTCCACGGAGAGCGGCGCCAGCACGTGGCACACGCCGTTATAAAGCACGGCGGCGGCGAAGAAGTACTGGATCCTGGGCCGGACCCACTTGGTGTTGGCCAGCATGCCCATGGAGGGCCGGGCGACCATGTCCACCATGGCCAGCACGGACAGCAGGAAGGCCGCCTTCTCTTTGCTGATGTCCTTACTCTTGGCGTAGTTAGAGAGGAAGACGAGCGGCGCGAAGAGGCCGAAGAACATGACCACGTTCCCCATGAGGTAGAGCAGGAAGCCGCGGTGTTGGAACAGCGTCAGGTCGATGAAGGAGTTGATGGTCTGCATGACGGTCTTCTTCTGCTGCGGCGCGACTGGCTCCACGGCTTTCACCTCGTTGGCCTCTGCGTCGGGCTTGGCTTTTTGGGGCGAGGGTCTGAGGGGCCGCATGAGGGCGCCGGCCACGCAGCAGTTGAGCAGGAGTCCCCCGAGGATCAGGAAGCTGCCCCTCCAGCCGAACTGGTCAAACAGCCAGGTGTTGAGCGGGGCGAGGGTGGAGAGGAACACCGGGCTGCCCGCCATGGCGATGCCGTTGGCGATGGGACGGCGCTTGTAGAAGTATCTACCGATCATGGTGAGGGCGGGGTTCAAGTTAAACGCTAGACCCAAACCTGGAGGGATAGGGAGGGTAGAGGGGGGGGGGGGGGGAAGGTAGGGTTACTTGGGGAGAAGATGAAGAAAGGGTGTACATTTTTTTTCTTCTGCCAACCAAAGTCATTACAAAAGAGAATGATAACTACATAACCTCATTTAAGTTTTTTACAATTTTACATCCTATAAAAATAAAGTTGGGAAAGACACGAAACGAGCATGCAAAATAAAAGATCTAATCCGTCTCCACTAGATTCGTCATCATCATATCGTTCATGGGGACACTTTATCAATTAGATGACAAATGGAAAACTACTCGAGAAGAAAGAAATAATACATTAAAAGACAGAATAATAATAGAACAAACTATTTTACATACACCTTTCCCTTTTTGTATTTTTAAATAAATACAATCAATATTTCATTGATAAAAAAATCCATTCAATTAAATTTCTCCACCAAGCAATATCATTATTTATTATATTTGTTGTAGTGATGTATCCCTTGGTAACTCTTTCTTTCTCCTCTATCCTGTCCATCTCTTCAAACCACTGATAACAGGTGACTTATTGGCACAGTGATAATATTCAGGGTTCATACACTTTTTCACCAATGACTTCTCAATGACTTCTCAATGACTTCTCAATGACTTCTCAATGACTTCTCAATGACTTCTCAATGACTTCTCAATGACCTTTACCTAATTTTCCATGACCAAAAAAAAAAAATTGCCACTGAAAATGGTTTATTTTAACATGGAACAGGAAAATAAGGTCTGCATATGAAACATGTAGTGCCTATCTAAAACAATCAAATAAAATGGCTTACTAGCTTCTACACGCTAAAGCAACTGTAGTCAGGGATGCAAACTCATCAGGTATGATAAAAGGTAAAAGGTGACAAGGACCCGAGCCCCCCGACCCCACGGAATATCGGCTTTAAAATGAGGAATAACAGGATGTTAGCAGTCAGAACAACTAAAGCAGCAGGTAATAATAACAGAAACGCCAAAGAGTCACATCTAATAGAAATATATAAAAGCATTTATTTTAATTGTGTAGCAGTCAGTTTATAATTCTGCCAGCACTGTTGAGCATTTTGAAAATGTATTTTCATGCCTCTGTTCAAGGCTTAGTCTTTCTATCTGTATAGCCACTGGTGTTCATAAACTCAACACTTTTTAGTGTCAGGATGGAACCCTTGTCTTTTTCTCTGCAAACAGAATCTACCTACGGGTACAAATAAATAACCTGAACCTGAAGGTACATGGTGTACTTCGACTCCACTACAGTTCAGAGGTACATGGTGTACTTCGACTCCACTACAGTTCAGAGGTACATGGTGTACTTCTACTCCACTACAGTTCAGATGTACATGGTGTACTTCTACTCCACTACAGTTCAGAGGTACATGGTGTACTTCTACTCCACTACAGTTCAGAGGTACATGGTGTACTTCTACTCCACTACAGTTCAGAGGTACATGGTGTACTTCTACTCCTCTACATGTATTTAATACCTTTAGTTACTTTCAGATGTGGATGAATGATGTGAAATCTAATCAAGTGTTAAATCTTTAGTTCCACCTGGAGTAAATCCACCAGCTACCCTGCAGTATACAAGTCATTCAAACTAGCTGCACCTTCACCAGCTTTGAGAACACTTTCATGATCAATCATTAGAAAACATATCATATACACTGAACAAAAATATAAATGCAACACTTTTGTTTTTGCTCCCATTTTTCATGAGATGAACTCAAAGATCTAAAGCAGCAGAGTTCAGCCGGTCCGACAGGCAGGAAGACTCGAGCACAGTTTGCGCTTCATATATTAAAAAACAACACCATGCGCGTCATCATGGCACATAACAGCTCGCGCCCACAGATTATTTCAGCGATTAGATTAAATGTAAATTATATTTGACACAACTTTAGTTACATTTCCATGACTTTTCCAAAACTTTGGGAAAAATATTGTGTTCCATAACTTTTCCAGGGCCTGGAATTTGCATTTTCAATTTCCATGACTTTTCCAGGTTTTCAATGACCGTACGAACCCTGAATATTGTAATGCAATCACAGCTGTATGTTTTCAGAGTATTGAGGAGCAGGTTGGAATGCGGCTCAGCCAATCAGAAGGATCAGAGCTTTCTGTTTTCGAAATAGATTTGAGTTGAAGTACTTGGTTATATTTGCTTTGTCACTGACCTCCCACCACTCCTATGCAGAAGTAGAGCTGCCCCACCGTGTTGCAGAATGACGCCAAGATGAGCCCGGTGCTGGCCAGACAGCCTCCGACTAAGATGATTGGTCGACTGCCATATTTGTTCACGAGGATGCTGCTGATTGGACCTGGAGGGAAAGAACTGATGTCATATAAAGAAAATACAAAAGCAGTGCTGAAGTATTGCATCTTAAGAAACACCATTTAAAATAACATAATAAATATTAGATGATAACAGGGAATCCACAATTATACATAATTGTGGATTCAGTGAATATTTTACTCTTTTCTTACAATTTCATGACATTTTATAGACTCAACAAATCACAAATAAATCGAAACAACAACATTTAATCTATTATAAAAACCTTTTTTATTTTTAACATTGAATATCTTTGTAGGGTCGGACAAAAACAATTAATTGGAAGACTTGGGCTTAAGGAGACTGTAACTGTAATCGACCAAAAAATAAAGGATTTAATCTGGAGATGTAGGTAGTGACAAAGAAATATAAACAAGTATAATTATTTTAAAGAAAACATTTCAACTTTTCACCAACAGGTGGGGCTATGATGGCAAACATTGAAAAAGATAGCTGATTGTGTAACAGCAGTGGTTGCATGGATGTTACATGAAGGAGGGAGGGATGAGCCATGCAGTGCAAGGTATGGCATGGCACACGTCAGAGTGAGAGTTTATGGAGGAGATAAAATGAGGGAGAACAGGAGAAAATAAAAATAAGTAGGGAGGACTGATCTACCAAGTACTAGTTACTGCACAGCACTAAACAACACATTCAAACTCATAATGAACAGTATTTACAGAGAGGTCTTCCAATGAAATCTGGGTTTATTGATCATCCATATTTAATGATGGTTTATCGTGGAACAGATAACTATTAAAGGGCCTGCACCGTTTGGCCTTGAGAGCCCGCAGACAGCCTAACACAGCTCTTTGTCCGGCCAGAAACCCCCCCAGAGCCCCTCAGAACCCTTCCATCTTCCCACAGACAGCAGGGAGAGAACACAATGAAGGTTACACACAACGATATTAAATCAACCTATGATGTAGGGACCGAGGCATGTTGAATACTGATCCATCCCACGCACTGGGAGCCTCTGGGAGAAACTCTACTGAAACGCCCCGGATCTCTTAGAAAGACGGACGTTTGTGTCGTACCTAAACCCTGCCATACTTTGTAACACTAATGCTCCCTTTCCTCCATACTAAATGTTTCACTGAAATGAGTTTTGTTTGAGTTCAGTGCTTGTTTTGGGGGTTGGTCCAGGTTGCAAAGCTCATAAGAACCAGTTTGCTTTCCACCGACCAGAGAGATAGGACACTACTCATGACTTCACTGTTAACGTCACTGTTAATGTTTACTTTGGACTCGAAAAACTTCTCCAAATCCCACCCTAGTCTCTGACAACAACTCTGACTTATGAGTCTCTCGGCAATTGGTGTTAACTGGGCAGGAAATCGGTGCTTGATTTCAACCAGACGTCGATACAGTCCAAACATTAAAAAGGGTTTCGCAATTGGGCTTCAGCTTTGAACTGACCCTGGAACTGGCTTGGTGGAAAGTGGACACAGGCTATTAGTGCTGTGAAGTTGTTAGCTGCATACAAGACCCTCCCTGAAACAACCTTAAGAATCCTCAGACTCGGAGAGGAAAAGGACAGCAGAGAAATGAAGAGAACAGAAACGTAAGAAGAGAGACGGGTGAGAAGGCGGTCCACGTGCCAGCCTCACTATGAATGGGCCTCACATGGGCTCAGACTGGCTCTCTCTGGATGTGAATACAAAGACTGCTGAAGCTACAGTGTGTGACTGCACGACAGGACAGTCAGTGAAGGAGATGATCATTCCTCAAAGCTCTGATAGGTGGTTCACTTAAGTCTCAAAAGTGGTTGCAGCAATGTTTGTGTTGGTATCATTTTGTACACAGATTTATGGGCAGATTTAAAAATGTTGACGACTCAAGAACTGATCATAATGTTTACAAACCTTTCCCAAATACCACACACCAAGACCCTGAGGAACACAATATAATAATTCATGCTGTGATTTAGGATCAAGAACTTCTGACATTTGTAAAATAATTGCATCGTTCAGGAATTGAATGGCAATGTCTCAAAACATCCCCTTATTGTCAGCTTCCCTAAAGAACTCATACATTGTCTCAGTTGCATTCTCCGGCTAATATTTGTATTGAACGTGTCCCTTTCATCAAGAGTGATTACTGCAAATCTCTACGAAGTCTGCAGTGCTGAAAACCTAAATGAACCAGTGGAAGTGAACTTGGAAGGGATTGGACTACATGAAAAGGCCACAACTTTACAAACGGCTCAAAGCATTGGACAAAAACAAGCGAATAAAAAAGACCACCAAGCAGCAGGAGGAATCCCATTGCCTCTGAGATTTATGATGTGGCCGGCTGGCAGAGCTCCTCTCTCTAACCCTGTACAAAGTAGGAAAGCCGTGGACAGCGTCTAAAAGGAGAGCTAGCAACAAACAAACGATCTTTCTGATGCACTAGATGGTCTCTCACGTTCACACAGCAGGGTAAGAAGTGAAAGTGTCTGAGGAAGTCAAAGCCAGCAGGGAAACGACTGGACCTCAGACTCAGATTGTGGTGCTGTCTATCTGTAAAAAAAACATGTGGAGTAAAAACAAAGCCAGAATACTCTGTTTTCATAAAGATAAGGTCTCTCATATCTGGGCTTCACACCAAACTGTAAAACAAACGCCATTCTGCACATTGGGTCAAATGGAAAAGTTTGAAAATGCTTAAATGAGACTTTTGATCTGTTGAACATGTTCTCTGAATACTGAGCCACTGAGGCTTTAAGAGTATTCAGCAGACTGTTGGCACCGAGCACATGGCTTTCATCTGCATATACCATCCATTGTAATGAAAATGTCCCTTTTGTCTGCAGACATCTTCCTAGGGCAGATGGATGTTTGTCTCAGTAATATTGTATACATCTAACCTAGAATGCTTCCTGTGTCACCCCTCTGCCAAGGACACGCGTCAAGAGGAATCAAATTAGTAATAAAACATAATAAATTGCAGCAAAGACCTTGGAGAGTAACCACCACAGCTCCCACAAGGTGTAAATCACGGGAGACTACGGAGCAGAAAGGAGTTTTTTTGACCCACCTTGACCCCTTCTACCCGTACGAGAGGGGATCCATCCCCCGAAACGCCACCCAGCTCTCTGTTGGGGTTCACTGACCAGATTAAGGAGCCTTCTCCGTCTCCCCAGTCTGATAAGGTTGCGTGTGTACAAAACTCCTTCCAGGAAAATCCAGGGCCCTGTGTGCTGATAGCTTTCCATTATTTCCGTCTTGATGAGAAAAGCGATCGTGATGAATCTTCACAGAAGCAGTCACTCAACTGAAATATAGCATCAATTCTCGCCGCAAAACTTTGGTCAGATAATGCTTTTAGCAAACTAAAACTATCTGGATTAAACGTCAGGTCTTTGGCACGAAGAAGCTTTTCAATAAATGATTTTAGGAAGCAAAACCTTGGTTTGATGTGCTTATCTAAAACCTGATTAAACAGCACAGCGGTACAGCTGTTCTTATGAAGTTAAGATTCCTTTTATGAGTGAAGCAGGAGGAAGTGCAGATGCCACTGTGTTTAATAATTACCTTCATTCCATAGGTATGCAGATATCTTATCAAAACTTAAGCTTCAGCTGACTTCCTAAAAATGTCCCAAATTGGGATCAATAAAGTACCATCTTATCTAATGTCGACTCATGTTAGCATCCTTTACAACAAGCTTTAGATCTGAGCCTGCCTCCTTACTCTCCTGTACATGCTTTCCCGATTGTTCTGTGTCTTCATTGTGCAAATAAACAAATCCAACCCCCTAAAAGTTGAGTTAAATATGAATGAAGTTACACTCAGTCTTCATCACTTCCGTGGTCCTCTCAGCTAAAGTCTGTTCCCTCGGACACAGAGGGCCCTTCACTCACACCACGGTGGATTTGCCTTTGAAAACTTGGCAGCGGGCCAGGCCGGGGTCACGCACTGAATACCACTCTGGTTTCTGTGTTGTGTCTGTCTTGTCGCTGAGGGTCTGTCTCGGTGGGTCGCCGTGTCCGAGGGGCCGGTGGGTTTCCATGATGCAGTCTGAGGTGAAAGAGGCGGGCACAGAGAATCTACCAGAACACACGGCGTACCCTCCAGACTCCGGCATGAACCTGATTGTGTGTGGAGCTTCGCCGTGAACAAAAGCGAACCTGTACAAAGACAGGAATTAATTTGCATCCCCTCGACACTCACATAAACAAATCAGTAGTGACGGTCTTTGTTGCTTTCTCCCAAACACAAAGAGGGCAGTGAGTGGTGTTCTCAGGAACATTATAGAAACGATTCGTCCTCCCCCCTCCCTCCATCGTTTGCTCTCCTTCTCTCTGTGAACCAAAAGAACACAGAGAGGAGGAAGGAGAGGAGTTGCCCTCAGCTTAACTCTGACACAGCATCCACAAGAGAGTTTAAAAAAAGGGATGTTAGGAGTGAACCCAGCTGTGACGAGCTTTTCCCCGGTCTAAATTTAGGCTCTGCTTCTTGCTGTGCTTCAGTGATTTCAATCTATATAACAATCTACTTGTGTTGTGAGACGGAGAGCATCAGCTGGTGATGAGTCAGAGTGACCAAAAGGGCAAGAAGAAAGATGATTGGATTTGTCACATAGCTAACAGGACACATCCATTACAGATGACCGAAGCTTTAGAAAGAAAAGATCTACAGTTTGGGAATTAGGATTCATCACTTTCTTGCAGAGTTGGATAGAAGATTGATACCACTATGCATCCGTCAACATTAGATTTTAAGGATAATGTTTTGAAGTATCCCAATATTTTGACCAAATACCTTGATATGGATATTGCAACGATATTGTAGGGTTGACTATTGGGGTATTAAAAGATAAAAGATCGATCATCATCAGTCATGTGGACATAATAAAGTGGATAAGGAAAATACTAGAATAGCACAGTCTGGTAAATTCATAATATGACATCACTCTACTGTACTGCAGCCTTTAAATCCAGGAAAAGACAATACTTGTGCCATTTTATAACAGTCTATATTCTTTTTTGATTTCCCTTTA